GTATCGATTTTTTCCCCTACCCCTAGTAGCAAGACTGAAAAAGTTGCCCATTTGTCATTCAGAACATGACTGTAGGAGCTGCAGCTCTAATAAGATGTACTACAGACTGTATAAAACATGGATGCAGCTTCCAGATGTGAAAAGTGAAGCAAAGTCCGACTTTTCACTGAGGTTGTATTCTTTTTATTGGCCAGCAATGGGTGACTCAAAAAGACTGGTTATGTGGATTTCTGTTGGAGTATGGCCCTCAGTTTTCTTGCTCTGTGACTCAGGACTGTATCCGCTCAACATCCAGGTTCCAGTCCTATCAAATACAACATAATCTTTATTTTATTAATTATGCTCCTCATCAGAATCAGGCAGTGAGGGTCTTGACATCTGAATGCCAAAACCTGAACAAACACTTGAGGCTTTGCAATCTGACTTCACAAGCCAACATTGTGACAGCTATATGCGTGTTTTATACATGCAGTTTGTAGTGTCCATTGTTTTCTAATTGCTCATTGCTGTTTGTGAGATATCCAAAGATCAGAAAGGATACAAAATTATATTTTTCTGTAACCAAACATCTTCAAATTTGACTGTTTGCTTTATTAACGTATTTATTTTTAATTTTTTACAAAAGGGAAATACTCAATCTGTCAACCTACGAATGCTGCAGTTATAAGTTACACAATGATTGAATGCTTTTAAAAAGCACGTGATGTACAGGGGTGTAGTCACTCCTGTGTGAATGCCTTCTTTGTTTTACTTTTTGAAAATCAGGTGAATTTCAGCAACACGCAACAGCTTTGATTTGATGCAGTGTTTACACATGGACTAAATAATTCCTATTATACCACTGTGCATCTCTGCATTCCCCTATCTACTCAAAAGATTTATATGTTAGCCCTTCTGTCTAGTGTAGTCTGAACCTTTTACATTTAACAATACAGAAAACTGAAAATATCTTGGTTATAGACGCCCGTATTATATTCTATAATGATGTAATACCGCTGACTAGTACTGCTATTATTATACTGAATAATAACAATGATCGTTTCTCCTTCAGATGCCTTAGACTTCACTGAGAAATGGCTTGAGGATACAGTAAAAAGCCTGCAAGACTCAGCAGCAACAGGTGGTGCTGCATCTGATTCTTCACTCCACCCCCTCAGTGTTCATAACCATGCCTATCTTCGCCTGCTCAGGTGGGACCACGACTCAGACCCCTTCCCGGAGGTAAACCCAATCAATCCTGGTTCATTGTATCTCAGTGCTTGTTTAGATTTCACTTCTTGTGTTGTACTCTTCATCCTAAAATTCTCCTCTACTTCTATCTACAGACGGTGTTGATGGATCAGGTTCGATTCCAGGAGATGCAGCAGGAGGCTGAACAGCTGGTTCTTCTCTCCTCTGTGCTGCTCATTGTCTACACTACAACTGGGGAGGCCATCTCAGGCCTGCCAGGACTGATGGAGACCCTCAAAAACACTGTTAACGTCTTGCTTGCAGACATGCATACACCGTAAGCACAAAGATCTTTTTTTTATATATATATATTTAAAGCTACAGTGGCCAAATTTGCCTTCATTTCTTTCAGTTCACTTCCTCAAGCACTAATTATTCTCTATGTGAATAAACAAAGGTGGAGAAATATGACTGAGCCAGAGTGGATTTAATTTGACTTGCATTAATGCGTAAATTGAACGATTTAGGATTAGTTTGAATTTCAAGGTAACTTTCTCTGGAAAGGTCCCATGCTGACATATTCTGCAATGTGCCTGATCTGAATTCAGCAAAAATAAAAAGAGACACTGTAGATTCCATCAGTTTCACAGATGTGGTGATGTGACTAGTTTAGCCTCATTTAGACAAGAGTAAAGCAAGGCAAGGCAAGTTTATTTGTATAGCACAATTCAACAACAAGGTGATTCAAAGTGCTTTACAGAGACATTAGAAACAAAAACAAATGAAGAAATAAAATTGATTAAAAAAACTATAGATAAAAGCAGACCTGTAGAAAAAATCAGTAGTTAAATGTAAGTTTTGAAATTTAAGCTTAAAAGCGTGGATTTGGTGCTTTATTCAAATGCAGCTGAGAACAGGTGAGTCTTCATCCTGGATTTAAATGTTGTGTTGTAGTGTTGTTTCCACGAATTGTATATAAAAGATAATTTAGAACTTTTTTGGACTTTGCTGTCACTATGTTAAGGGTTTTTTGTTTGTTTTTTTCTGGTCAACTGGAACCTTTCTGTGGAGTTTATGTGTTTTCCAACAGTTTTAAAAGATGTGCTTTGTACTAACTATTTAAATGGTAAATGGCCTGCATTTGTATAGCGCTTTACGTAGTCCCTAAGGACCCCAAAGCGAGGACTACATTCAGTCACACACCCATTCACACACTAGCCACAGCTGCCCTGCGGCGCACTGACAGAGGCGACACCGGCCCTCTGACCAACACCAGTAGGCAAACATGGGGTTAGTATCTTGCCCGAGGATATTTGCATCCAGGAGGCAGCCTGGGATCAAACCACCGACCTCCTGATTAGTGGCTGACCTGCTCTGCCACCTGAGCTACAGCCACGCCATTTATTCTAAATTGGCTTAATTTATGAACATGAGAGCAAGAGGCCAAAGCAGTTACAATTTTTTGAGACCGTGTTTGATAGATGGCTATGAAGTACTGATTACATACAGCTTTTTTTTGTAAAGTTAATTGTATCAGTAAAATAAGTTTATTATATATTAAAGGTTGTAGCTTTTCTCTATTGAAAAAAATTCCAAGAAGTTTTGGCTCAAGACAGATGGAAAAAATGCACTTTTGTCCCACCGACTGTCCACTGCTAGCCATCATAATGGAGTAAGGTTTTGCACACTAGGGTAGCGAGTTAGTTACATGACTGAAAACTATGGATAGAAGATGCATAAAGCTTGGCTTTTGTTGTGAAGCTTATTAACTTAACAACTTGTATTGTTATAAAACTAAAGCTTTTTTTTTTGGTCTGTCCTAAGGTCATTTAGTGCACAGGAGGTCTTGGCGACCATTGGCGAGAAACTGTGTGTTGAGCTGAGTCAGTGTCTAAGCCAGCATGGCTACTCTCCATTCTCAGCTGACCGAAAGAGCGCTCTGAAGGGGCAAATTTCCGCCGCCATCCAACCAGACAACACAGTCCGCATGCTGATGGGTAAGAGCACTTACTTCTTACTTCCTTAGAGGCAACACCAGCGGTGCACAGTTCAGTGAAGGTGTTTGTCAGCGGCAGTTAAACTCTCTTCTCTCCTCTCAGAATCTCGGGTTCACAACTACCTTCTGGCTTCCCTGGAGTCCAGCCAACATAAGACCCCTCCTCCTCTGCCAGGAGGTCTGGCTCCAGTCAGCAAGGAGCTAAAAGAGCTTGCTGTTCACTTCAGTCGCCTTGTCAACTACAACAAGCTGGTCTTCTCCCCATTCTACCAAAAGACCCTGCAGAAAATACTGGCACCAGGGGAGAGTCCCAGCACAGACACATAAACTCTGCAGGGAGGGAGAAGAGAAATGTGGAGAGCGGTCTGTGATTTTTTGCAGTTTCCTCTCACTAGTAACGGTTAAGATTTAAAGAAAACAGTCACGGGAGGTGCCCAGAGAAGTATGCACCTTAAACCAAGTCGATTAGAAAATAGACTCACATCTCAGTTACGTTAATTCACAAAGTTGTTAGCTTGGAAAAATGTCAAACCTCATTTGTGACCTATTAGCAGCTGTCTTGGATGAGCCTGTATTCAGTAATATAGCATGGCCAGGGTATCATTTGGAATAGTTTAATACCCAGAACTAATATTTGGGGGTATTCTGCATCTTTACCATACGTGGTAGAGTCCTTGTGACTTAGTTTGCGCAATATTTAATTAAAGAAAGAATTCAGGAAGCTAAAGTGTCAGCGTATGTATCATAAAAGTGTCCCAAAGTAGGAAGATATAGGATCTCTTACACAATCCCTTTTTCCTAATTTAGGGAATTCCCCCCAACATCCAACAAGCTCCAGTGCTGCCCCCGCCTGTCAGGAGATGCCAGGAGATGTTATGGTATTTCACAGATGTGTTTGCTTTATTACGTTTATCAAAAAAGAGCCACAATCTCTACTTATAAAGGGTCATTTAAGTATATTTGAAAGGGAATCTGTTTACTCAGGATAAACAAGTCACCGAGCATTTTTAAAACGAATTTGTGGGGGGAAATAAAGTGTTTTAGTGAATCTGCCTGAATGCTCCTTCCCGTTAGCTCCTGACAGGTGAGGCGGAGCTCTTCTAAAACACTGGCAGAGAGCTTCTTGATGAGTTGACAAAGCTGACCCCTTCAGTGAGATATGTGATGGGTAAAAGCCTTAAAGTATTTAGAAAGCATCAGTACGTTACGTTTTTTTAAACTTGCTGCTCATGGCACTGTTTAACTGGCACTCTAAGCAGTTGTGTAGCTCACACAAGTGAAAGAATGAGCAAGACAGCAAATGCCTGCATGTCTTTTACACTGGAACTGAAAGAGAATACAGAGGGTACAAAAACTATACACCTTAATCTTTTTGTAGCATTTAGTTCATGCATCTGTAAGTACTAGTGGATTTTTTTTTTAACAGACAGGGGACTCCTTGCAGTAGCTTCAGAAATACGTACAATAACCCTGCTAAACAAATTCTTCACTATAAAGTAAATTAGTTTCCTTTAATGATAAACCAGAACCAGCCCCAAATCCAAAGGTTGGACTTAAAAAACCAACAAACAAAAAGATGATCTGAATCT